TACGGCTAAAGCTCTATATGAAATAGCTAGTTACAATTTGTGACTGAGAAGTATTTGAAAAACAAAATGTCAACTAGGAAAACAACAGAAAAGAAGAAAGAAATTAAGTCAGTCCAGCAAACAGAAAAGAGATTGTCAGGTTTTTTTTCTACTCCCAGTAGAGATCTGCAGGAACAGATAATTGATGGTAAGACACACCCAAGTAACATCTCTAATATTAACCAAGAAGTTCCACTTAATCAATTTCCATCAGAAATGCAAGCAATTGCTTCAATCAATATAAGCAAATGCTGGAATTACAATTAAATATATTGAAACAAGACATGCTGGCAAGCTTTGATGAGATAAAACAAGAAATTAAAAATGTTGCAGCATCAGTGGTGGAAGTGGAGAAAAAATGCGAAGTGTTTGGAATTCAAATTAAGATAATTAATACAGAACTGCAGTTTCTGGTAAACAAAGTTGATAATCTTGAAAATAAAATAGCATCTTTAGAAGACAGATCAAGAAAAATAAATATTAGAATAAGAGGGGTTTCTGAAGAAATTTCCAATGAAAAATTGAGAGAATATTTGAACAATTTATTTAAAGAGGTCTTACCAGAAATACCTACAGATGAATATAAAATAGAAAATTTTCATCGAATATATAAGCCAGACACAACAGCTTCACATCTCCCAAGAGATGTAATAGTGAGTTTTTTCTCACTATCAATGAGAAATAACTTACTGAAAGCCAGCCGTACTAAATCTCGAACAAATTCTATCTATAAGGACGTAATTTTCTTGCAAGACTTATCCTATCATACCAGGACTTGGAGGAAATCTTTCTCCACCGTGACAAATTTTCTAAGAAAAGAAGAGATCAGATTTCAATGGGCTTATCCAACATCCTTAAGGTTTACTTGGAAACAAGAAAAAAAATTTTTTTTGGACGCGATGCAAACAGTTGGTTATCAAGTATTAATAAGAAAGCTTGAAGGGTCTGCAGCGATGGAAGGAGGGAAGAGAGAAGAGAAGATGAGAAGGAGGAAGGAGATAGGAAGAAAGGAAGAAATATACATATTTTTTTTCTTATATAGAATTAATTAGTTGTGCATTGTATAATTTGCAAATTTGCTGATTCAATTGGTGATTGTTTTCACTTTAAGAGTATTAATTAACTAGATATATGCACATAAACATGTGGAAAAAAGGAGATAAAAGTAAACACGTTTAAGTATTAATATTAATTAGATTTGAACTTAACGAGGTGGCTAAAAGAAAATTATTCACATGCATTAGTTAGTTAAGAAGAAATAGATTTACTTAAAGTAAAGAATCACAGGGTAATGGAGTTGAGTACAATATTAGCTGTATAATGGATAACTAACAAATTTATTGAGGTAATTGTTGGTTGTTTTCACTTTAAGGGTATTAACTAATTACGTATATGCATATAATTATGTGGAAAAACGAGTTAAAAGCAAACATGTCTAAGTATTATTCGGATTTGAACTTAATGAGGTGGTTAAAAGTAATTTATTCACATGTATCAATAAGGTAAGAAGAAATAGATTTAATTAAAGTAAAGATAAAAGGTTTTTTTTTTTTTTTCTCTCTCCCCTCTTGGGGAAAGACCGTAAACTTACAGATATTATTACCTCTTTCTAGATACGCCCACTTAGTGTCTAACTTAAAGACACAGTAAAGACTGGATTTCTAAATGGAGATTTACAGTCTTTGTGTAAAAAAAGGAGGATTTCCTCCTATGATTTTAATATTTTGTTTTGTGTGTGTGTATGGGTATGTTTTTGCAGCAATAGGGAAGGGTAATGGTTATCGAGTGGAAGGGGATGTAGAGAAGTTGTTGAAGATAATATGATAAAAATGCTTACACTTAATGTTCAGGGATTAAATACTATAGGGAAAAGAAATTTACTGTATAAATACCTCAGTGAAAAACAATTGAATTTAATATTTTTACAAGAAACTCATTGGAGACAAGTGGATAAACAGAATTGGGGGGGTAAAAGATTTCCACTTATAATTCAAGCTTCTAATAAGGAAAAAAAAAATGTGGAGTAGCTGTGGTATTTGGAGAAAAGATTAAAGTTGAAGTAATCCATCAAATACAAGATACTAAAGGTAGATATTTAATAATAATATGCAAAATTGACTCTGTACTTTTTACATTATGTAATATATATCTTCCTAATTATTCACCAGTTGCTTATTTAAAAACAATTTTGGAAAAAGTAGATGAAGTCAAAGTGGGAAAGTTAATAGTGGCAGGGGACTTTAATGCCGTATTGGATCCTCAGATAGATAAAAAATTAATGAAAGGAAATACTTTAAATCAGATGATGACAAAACAAGCAAAAGCTTTAAAAAAAATTAAAGATGAATATAATTTATTCGATATCTGGAGAATTTTTAACCCTATTGAGAGAGACTATACGCATTTTTCCAAAGTGCATTTTTCTTATTCAAGATTGGATATGATTTGGGTTGATCCAAGTATTATTGATATGACCAAAAAAACAAAGATTGAGGAGATAGTTTGGACAGATCACAATGGAGTTTTTTGTGAAATGATTTTTAGTACATTTAAAAGAGAAGCCTATACCTGGCGGCTAAGAGACAATTTGCTTTGTTGTGAATCAAATAAAACTTACATAGGAAATAATATAAAAAACTACTTTAAAGAAAATATCTCAGAAAATATTGATCCAACTATTTTGTGGTGTGCCTTTAAGGCTGTCATAAGAGGTCATATTATCAAGCTACAAAGTCAGCTTGATAAAAATAATACCCAGGCATATCTATATACAGAATTAAGAAACATGACTCATATTAATAAACAATCTCCATCTCCTGAAATTTATGATAAAATATTAGAACTTAAAGAAAAAATAAAGCAAAAATCAATGGATACGATAGCCAAAAATATGGATAGATTGAAACTTAAATATTACTCTAAAGGTAATCGAGCTGAAAAGATGCTATCTCAAAAACTTAGAAAACAAAAAGGACAAAATAAGGTAGATAAAATAATACAGGATGGAAAAATAGCATTAACCCCTAGAGAGATTGGAAAGTGTTTTAATGAATATTATGCCAATCTATATAATATACCTCAAATTAATACAGATGAGGATATAAAAAATTATCTAAATAATATAAAGAAGTTTCAACTAACACCCACTGAAAACGAACTTTTGAATAAACCTATAACTCAGGAGGAGATTACGAAAGTAATAAACGATTTAGAAAGAACTAAAACACCAGGCCCGGATGGGTTTAGCAACCTTTTTTATAAAACATTTAAAGATTTAATATGTCCACATTTGACCTCTGCTTTTAACATAGCAGCAAACAGAGGATTTTTACCAGCAGAAATGCTTAAAGCTAATATTTTGCCTATTTTGAAAAATGATAAAAACCCCACTGACATCAAAAATTATCGTCCGATATCTTTAATAGATGTAGACACTAAGTTATATGCTTCGGTTTTGGCTGCTAGAATAAAAAAACTTCTTCCATTGATTATCCATAAAGATCAAATAGGATATGTACCAGGCAGAAACTCCTATACAAGTATAAGGAAAATTATTAATATCCTGGATGATGCAAATAGAAAAGATGTTCCAGTTCTGACTCTGTCGATTGATGCTGAAAAAGCATTCGACAGAGTCAGCTGGAAATACTTAGAAGCCGTTTTATTACACTATGGATTGGAAGGTTGGATTAAGAAAGCCATAATGGCATTATATGTAAATCCAGTTGCACGGACTATCGGACCTAATATTGTCGCCCCATGGTTCCAACTTAGAAATGGCACTCGGCAGGGTTGTCCCCTCTCACCATTACTCTACTTGCTGACCATCGAGCCATTGGCTGAGAATATTAGAAATAATAAAGAGATTTACGGTTATAAAATAATGGATGAGGATCAAAAAATCAGTCTATATGCTGATGACATTTTAATTACTCTCACAAACCCTAAAAATTCTTTAGAGTATATAATGCAAGAAATAGAGCGATATAGTCTTATATCAAATTATAAGTTAAATACAAATAAATCTCTGATATTAGATGTTAACCTTGATAGAAAGATGCAACAAGAGATTAAAAATAAATATGATTTTATTTGGGTCAAAGAAAGTATGGATTACTTAGGAATAAAAATAACTAGAGAGATAAACAAGATTATGGAAGTAAACTTCTTAACATTATTACTAGACCTTAATAAATGGTTAAAAGATCGCAGAAATCTAGAGATTACCTTTTGGGGACGAATAAATGTTATTAATTCATATGTTATACCAAAGTGGAACTATATGTTTCAAATGTTACCTCTCCATATCCCAATCCATTGGCTTCAATTAATACAAAGAAGTTTTACTCAATACATTTGGAAAGGCAAGAAGCCAAGATTGAAGCAGTCAATATTAGTGCAGAAAATACATAAAGGTGGACTTGACTATCCATTTATAATGAATAATTTCAAAGCAGCTACTATCTTACACGTGTATAGAATGCAAATTAAAGAAAATAAAGATGAGGGATGGTATAAAATGGAAATGAAGGCAGGAGAAGTCTCTAGCCTAGACTGTTTAATTTGGAATATAAATAAAATGTCAAAGAAAAAAGAGTATGCTAGTATTATTTTAACTCAATTATTAGAAAACTGGTTAAAAATTAAAAAAGCAATGAATATAGAAAAAAAAGTCCCAAGTTACTTAGAATTAGACACTGTAGAAAAACAAGTGGAAGATTTAAATTTAAATAATTGGAAAAAAGAAGGGATAAAGACTTTGGACCAACTATTGATAGAAGGATCAATCAAAACTTTTGCTCAAATAACAGGGGTATATAATCTCCCTTCTAGAGAGATGTTTAATTTTTTAAGACTTAAAAGTTATATGAATATACACCATATAATACCAAAATCTAATTTGAGTAATTTGATAGATTTATTATTCACGTCAAAAAAAATCAATAAACCACTTTCCAAAGCTTTGATATTAATTAAATCAATGGCCAAAGATACAAACCCTACTGCCATACAGGTTTGGAAACAAGAACTGGACATTGATATTAATTCGAATCAATGGGGTTCTTCAATGATGGATGTTAAGAAAAATATACATTCATTAAATCTATTAGAAACTCACTTTAAAGTTTTAAATAGGTGGTACTTAGTACCAGCTAAATTGAATAAAATTTATCCTTTAGCTAACCCTATTTGTTGGAGATGTAATAGTATTAGAGGCAATTTTAGACATATTTGGTGGGATTGCCATAAATTAAAGAATCTCTGGTTGAAAATACAGCATTTTATATCCAATAATTTAAAACTCGAGTTGACAATTTCTCCAGAGGTAGTTCTGTTACATCTAAATTGGCCTCATATGACATATGAGTTAAAAGCAATTCTTATACATCTTTTTTTAGCTGCTAAAATAGTAATTGCGAGATGGTGGAAAAAGGACTTAGAAGTCCCCTGGAAGAAAGTTAAAATTCAACTCGAGTTTCAGATTAAAATGGAGTTGATGCTAAGTAAACAAAGATTAAGTAATAAGGTTTCTGTCTGGTCAAAATGCATAGAGATGATTGTTGTAGAAAATAACGCTGATCAATTAGATGTAGAGTAATCCCATGAACATTGTAAATAATGAGATTTATCTAAATGATTTTACCACTCAATTATGGAAATTTTTTCCTGATGTATTTTTCTTTCCCCTCCCCTATTTTGCTGCTATGTTGTTTGTGTATTGTAAATTTGTATGATATATGTATTTGTATGATATATGTATTTAACAAGGATAAAAAAATAAAAAAAAATACAAAATAAAGATTAAATATTCAAAATAATTGAGTTAACCCCTACAGGACTAGGGCACATGTAATGAATAAAGCACCTCTGAATTGCTTTCTTTGATTGCAATTTTGCAGCTTCTCCAAGAACAATGAAGTTGAAGTCTCTTAGATGATACCTGACCTTCCCAGAGGCAATATTCATAAATCATCAATGCCTACCTAATAGGGATCTGGGATCAGAGCTGTATTTGCCAAGAGGCAAACAAGGCATTTGCCTAGGGCGGCACTTTCAGGGGGGCGGCAAAAAATGGCACCCTAAGTGCTCATGGAAATGCTGTGTTTGCTTCATCTTGGGGGGCCCAAGAGGTGGCCAGCTGGCCACCTTAAGGCCCCACCAATGCGTTGCAATACACATCGTGTAAGCGGGCGGCGAGGGAGCGCAGTCCTCTGAGCTCTTCCTGCTCACGCGCCGGTATGATGCTGGTAGCGGGAATATGGCATTACTTCTGCCATGGTGGTGCGCAAGGGAGCAGAACAGGAAAAGCTCAGTTCCCTCACGGCCTTCATAGAGCCCAGCCAGCAGCCCCAACCAGAAGGAGCCTGCCAGCAGCCCCAGCCAGCCCAGCCAGAAGGAGCCCGCCAAAACAGCAGCCCAACAGGAGTCAGGGACATGATCCACTCCAGCTCTCCCAAAGGAAGGCTGGGTGGATTTAAATAATAATAATAATAAAATGAATTGATGAGTGTATCAGAAAATGCGTGTCTGTTAGTGTGTGTGTCTGTAAGAGTGTGTTTGTGTGTCTGTCAGTGTGTGTGTCTGTCAGAGAGTGAGTGTGTGTAGCTGTCAGTTTGTGTCTATGAGTGAGTGAATGTGAGTGTATGTCAGTGTATGTGCATCTGAGAGTGTGTGCTTGTCAGTGAGTGGGTGTGTCAGTGTGTGTCTGTTAATAAAAGTATGGGTTGTTTAAACAGTGTGTGTGCCAATGACTGTGTATATGTCAGCGCATGTGTCAATGAGGGCATGCGTCTGTCAGTCAAAAAGTGGCATTGATATGAAGTGGTGGGGCAAATTTAGAGTAGGGGGGTGCCCAAATTTAGTTGTGCCTACGGCAGCACGAATTCAAAATACACCACTGTGAAGAAACCCCCCTGTTCCCTATGTGATTTACAGTTTGCATTCCCTTTTCATCCTCTATTTGCTGCCTTTTGCATTCGGTAGATGAAACTACCGAACAGGGACCACCCTCTGGCTCATTAAACATCAAAGGTTTAGGTGAAAGTTCTACCTCTGTCTGTGCGGCCAGCGTTCGTTAGTCGAACGCCACGTGGCAGAGAAAACCGCATACATCTTTGTTCATGCGAACAAAGGCAGCAGGACCTGATCGTCGAGTGCATGGAACTGTTTTACAGACACTCGACTTCCCGAACACCGGTTCCAAACAGACGAACGCTGGAACTCTATTTACCGAATAGCTAGAAGAGCTCTATTCGGTACTTTGGTGCATTCGACAGAGGGGCACGAACGCTGCTAGGAGCCAGAGGGATCCATTCAGTACTTTTATTCATTTTTATGTTTTTCGAAAGTGACCGGCAAAACCCACCAAATTCATGGAACTGTTTTGGGCATGCAGCCCAGGGTGAGCCGGTCACAAAAGACTTTCTTAAAATTTGCGAACCCCTGATCAGGGTGAAATTCGAATATGTTGGTCACCCAGATCAGGGCTATCAGGGGACACATAATTTATGGGGATACCCCCAGTATAAAGGGGTTTTCTGAAAGTTTGGGAAAAAGTGATTTTTCAGCCCGGAGATAATTAAGTTACTATTTTATCAGACTAAATTATCTCCTGACCTAGGGGAGGGAATTGTAGGTGTGTGTTAACATTTTACTGTTTGTGATTGGTTATTGTTTGTCCCTCCCTGAGGGCTGTCCCCTTGCATGGGGACTTGCATAAAAGCTGTGTGCACCCATTAAAGGACAGTTCATTTTGTACCCTTCTTCTTGACTTTGGCTGATGTTTGGGGATTCGTGTGTTTCACTGAGGGAATTATCTGGTGAGACTATTGGAATTGCGATAGGATTCGTCTACCCTAACTACCGAACGGAGGGCTATAATCACTAAGGCTCTGGCAGTTCGGGAGGAAACTACCGAATGAGGTTAAATATACTTGGTTTCCTTACAACCACTATCTTAAAATATTTTTATAGTTAGAATAATGACTTAATGTTCAATACCTAAACTATTATATGCAATGTACAGGCTATATTTTAGGAGGTCAAAGGGTAACTCCAAGCACCATGGCCACTTCAGTGATCTGAAGTGGTCTTCACACTTTGGAGATATTTAAAGGGAGATTATAATCACCAAAACAACTTTAGCTTAATGAAGCAGTTTTGGTGTATATATCATGCATCTGCATTCTTACTGCTCAATTATCTAACATTTAGGAGTTAAATCACTTTGTTTATACAGCCCTAGTCACACCTACCTGCCTGTGACTTACACGTCCTTCCTAAACACTTACTAAGAGTCATCTAAAGTTTATACTTCCTTTATCTCCTGCTGCTATGTTAATAGCCTTCTAGACCCCGCAAGAGCCTCCTGTATGTGATCAGACTTCAATTTACAGAGCAGGAGATAAACATACATCTGAAAATTATATTTTTTAATGCAGGCTGTGTCAGTCACAGCCAGGGGAGGTTTGGCTATGGCTGCATAAACAGAAGCAAACGTGATTTACTTAACTTCTAAATGGCAGGGGGGGCGGGGCCTGACAGGCATGGAGGAGAGACGTGTATTGAGGGAGCTCCTCTCCTATTCCGACTAATAAGCAAACTTTTGCCTAACCCAGCTTGATTTGGGTCGAATCCAGGGCCTCACCTACTACTTGCTCCAGCTGAGAAACACTGCAGGGCCCAAAGATTCGACGTGAGCCCATCTGTGGCACGTCTCGGAACATGCGGCCTAGGTTGCACTGGGCGGGAGAAGCGGCCGATCTCCCGGTCTGGGGCTACACGACGGCACTTACTGGAAAACAGATGCCCCGTTTCCCCCCCCTCTGGACCGGTGGGGGTGATCCCGGTCCAACCCTGGGAGGCTGCCCTGTTGGCACAGAACCATGGGGTGAAGTCATGCCAGCTCACACACAACCCGACGACTTACCTAAGATGGCGGCTGCCACGAGGATCCCCTGCAACACGGGGGAAAGGCAAGATGTCATGTCCAGACTGGACAAAATCTTTGAAGCTTTCTGGCAGAGAGTGGAGAGCAGGATACAGCACCCCTCCTTCAAACAACCGGGTAGCTGCTCTACACCACGGCAAGTACACACCAAGCAGCAGCCTGTGGCTCCAGCAGCACGCAGGCCCCCAACATGGCGGCGAACCACGAAGAGCTCACCGATCCGGCGCAGGAAAGCTACCAAGAGGGTCGCGCTGCGGCCCATCACGGAGACCCATCAACAAACTGCGGTGCCGGGAATAACCCCAATCTGGTCACAAGGAACAACCTGTGGGTGCACACAGAGACTCAGAGGACCACCGTTCCTCTTAAAGCCACAGGACAATGCAATACCACTATCCGGCATAGGCTGATACAGGTGCCAGGGCTGCATAAAGACGAGCTGTTGCCCTTTTGTGACACAACTCTAATACACCCTTGAACTCCTGTGACACTACACTCCAGCATCTTTTTCCTAATCTCTGGTATCACCCCATGCACACTTTTTACCACATGCAACTAGTCAGGGGCCTCCCTGGGAAATTTCCCTGTTTAAAATTCATGTTGATATATGCATGTCTCTATCTTTAACCTTGAGAATATCTGTGTCTTCGATACACTATCTGCCCACTATCTGTATACAGTAATCTGCTTAGGCACGTTAGACCTAACTGTTTTGCTAACCCCCAAAAAAAGGTGTACTAACTTACTCTGTTTGCCATGCAACTGTCTTATATTGTACGATACTACCTTGCTTGTTATTGCAGTCATGGCATCATAAACATGTTTTGTTATTTCTGGCACAGCAAAAATAAAGAATTTAAAAAAAAACTTCTAAATGGCAGTATGTTGAACAGTGAGACATCAGAGGCATGGTCTATACACAAAACAGTTTAATTACATAAGTTGTTTTGGTGACTATAGAGTCCCTTTAATTTTGCTGCCAGAGTTGTAAGTCCACCACCCATAGTATAATTAGCCAGCCTGAGATGAGAGCTTCAAGCTAGCCAATATTAAATCTTTGCATGAAAAATGTCCAATGGCAGCTCGACCTCTCCTCTCCGTGCTACCCTATGACTTCCCACAGACCTGCCATCTTGACGGAACAGTGGTGGAACATCAGAGGTCTCTAAGGTTGCAAGTGTGACCAGGCCCTCTGTGTTTCTCCTGTCAAAAGGGGCCAAAGGGTTGGTCGGCTGGACAGGTTAGGGCACCTCACAAGGCAGGTGGCTATGCACACAAAACAGGCACCTACCTACCCGGACTCTAGGTATCTGCTGTGCACAAA